GGGAGGGGGTGAGTGAGTGATTCGTTCGCTCGCTCTATGATTCAGCACAGGACGGAGGGGGTGAGCGAGTCCTGAGTGATTCAGCACAGGAGGGAGGGGGTTAGTGAGTCCTGAGTGATTCGCTTACGCTTACGATTCAGTACAAGAAGGGAGGGGGTGAGTAGCTCAAATGTGCTGTTAGCATGTTAGCAGAGCGATGCTACTGTGAACCGAGGAGCTATTTTCTTGATGTGAGCTTCTACTCAGGGTTTTTTCTTCCAGTAAAGAGCAGAAATGCTTTTGTTAAGAAACTGGCTGTTGTTTCCCCCCCCACAATTTTAATTATAGGCTAGATATATTTCTACTAATGGAATTAGTTTGCTAAAAGCAACAGGGATGAGTCAGTGAGTCAGTTGGGCTTGTGAATCATGATTCACGAGTCAGTAAAGTGATTCTCGAGTATTGAACGATTCGTTCACGAATCGAACATCACTAATACCTTTCTAATGAGACATTGTTGTCCCTGGCTCTCTTTCTCTGTCTCTCCCTCCTGCTCTGTTCCTGTGCTACTGAGTGTAACTACCGGCCCTCCCCACTCTTCCCAGCGCAAGCACACGGCTAGCGTGCGGAGTGAAGCGAAAAAAAGTGCGAGAGAGAGAGAGGGTGAGAGAAAGAAAAGAAAAAAAAACCCCATGGCTTGCGATAAGGAGCCGGCTCGAAAGAGCCATTTCGTTCGCGTCCGACACATCACTACTGTAGATTTACTTAATGGAGAAAAATATTTCTCCATTAAGAAAACAATGGATAAATCAGGTGATAATACCTGAATATATGAAACGAATCTGAGCTCTGAACTGAAGGCTTCACTGCTTTAAAGCCATCTGAATTGGTTAAGTTCATCTAACAGAAGAGCACCAGGGCTGAGTAAAGCCAAAAGGAAGTGCCACCTGTGGTGTCTCCAACCGAAAATATAAATATAATTTTAGATTTTTTAGATTCTTTGATTTATTTACAGGTTAAGTTATATAACTAAGTTATATAGCTGAATTTGCACTGATTATCAATATTAAAAACGTAGCCTGTTAACAATGATCTATTTTAAGTAGAGTAAGAAGGTTTTTAAAATTATACCAGACCTTTCATCTTAACAGATATTTTCCAGTGTTATTAACAATTTCTCAAATTTACAGGAAAACTAGGCATGGCCTGAGTGTTGGGCTTGTACTTCTCATGTAATTGCTCACCTTTGTATTTTGGCAGCATTTTACTCCGCTGTAGCTCAGTAATTTTCCACCGGCTGATACCTTTGGCATGTTCTCATATTTATTACGTTGTTTTTTTTCCTGGTTTGTTTTTATCTTACATTAGCACATCTTTACAGCCGTAATAAGACAAAGTCCTGGACGTTAGCTCGTTATCAACACTAGCTAATTCCAGTGTGAAGTACGCCAAGAATGACGTGCTGTTTATTAAATTATTAGAAAATAGTCATAACTTTTATTCCGTATTTTTCCACGGTCACGCTCAGGTATGACGCTGAGCTGCCTCCTCTGGTTCATGTTTGTAAGGTAATAAGGTAAGGTAAAAGTAACGTTAAAAATTTTAAGCTAACTTCTCGCTCAAATAGTTTCTGCGTTTCATTAAACCCCAAAATCAGCCGACACAAGCAGCTGTGCTTTCAGGAAACACCCTCCCTCAACACAATAGCACCGACACTCGCGGAAATATTCGTTTTCGGTGGTACTGATAATCCAGAGCCACGCACAAAGTCGCCTTGTTCGTGTGTAGCCCACCAAAAAGATTTAAGGACCACTCAAATGTGTGTGGGGGGGAGAGTCGTTACCTGTCAGAAGCGGCGCTCACAATCCGTATGTCACTTCTTCCAGCTGTCATCTCACAGCAGCAGGTTTCAAAAAGATGATTGATACGGCTGAAAGGCAGAATTTAGTAATCCCTTTTTTTCAAGAGGAAACACAGAGAGAGGAGGGAGGTATGTGTTAGTGCGGAGCCAGCGTCATGCTGGCGAATGAGGAGGGGCTGCAGGAAGAGAAGCTTTAAGAGGACCTAATGAACTGTGGCTGAACGAAAAGCCCCAAACCAGAGCAGCTGTAAACCGCAAGAAAAACGTGGATATATATTCAAATAAGTAAGTAAGTTTAATCAGAACATTCTTTTTTTTCCCCAAATTGATTGGCTGTTGAATCTCCTGACAAAAAAAATGACTAAATATGTGAGTTTAAATTTGTAAAATATTTGCAATATCTGGGGGAAAAATCACACTGATGATGTAGGAGACTCAAAAGTCATGTATCAAATATGAGACACAAGGCGTTTAGTGATTAAGACTAACCAGCCACGTTTAATAGCTACAGACAGAGTTATACATTTGAAAGGAGTCATCAAAAAAACACATTCTGTAAATTTAAAGTCAAGGTTTTAGTTAATGCCCAACTTTACAGCATTAAAAATTAAGATTACAGCCTAGACTCTGTGAATATGACTTTAGGTAGTAGTAGCCAACTGCTGTCTGCTATTCCGCACAGATGGGAGTTGGAGTCACTCAGCTGCTCTTATCATGTTTGTGCTAATGTGTTTTTTTGTATTTTAATGGAATCATCAGACTAGTAATATGTCTGCTGCATGGTGCAGATCATCCCAGAAGTTTATGCTTCAGTTTCAGTGAGTGAAATTTGAGTATTTTTATTAATCTGTTATTAGCAAGTATATTTTTTGTGCACTGTACAACTTGATAAGTAAGGCTCAGTTGATGCTCCCCTCCACCCTTACATGGCTCAATGCAGAATCCCAAACCATGTGAACTCTACATGCATTTTATATTTACAGTCAAACGAACAAACTTAACACACCAGAGATTTATTTCCCAAGAATCCTTGCACAAGCATTATGGTTTCTGATGCAATAAAGCTTTCATCTCAACAAGGAAGTAACCTACAATCTGAATTCCACAGCAATGTCTTTTCAAAGTTGATGCTTCTGACAATACAGTGATTCTGGGATTCTATCTTGCTCATCAATATTTATTCCAAAGTAAGCTTTGTGTTTCTTTTGACCCAGATTGAACATTCAACGTAGACTCTGTGCAGCAAAAGTTGTCAGTTTGCAAAGAAATCTCAAACAACTTGTAAGAAAATCAAAGAACATTTTATTTCTTTGACAATACTTCCAACACTTGAACACAGAAGTGAACTTTCCCTGTGGTTTTTAAGAACTTAAGAGCACAAATGAATCCAACATAAGGCAAATGCGCATGTCAAATCTTCCAGGTCTATGAGAAACGAAGAGTACAATCACTACAGCTGTATGCATAAAACACTTGCACACACAGCACAAGTAATAATTCACTTTGGATGACCAATCTCACTTACATGCTGCCAGCTGGATGCTGTTCATTATCAAAATATACCGTCTTCACTTGTGAGATGATGGCCACTGTAAAGGAACACTTTGCCATTTGGGAAATCCTATTGTTTGACTTTATCAAAGCCAGATGAGAAGATTTAGACCAGTATCATCTTTGTGAGGTTAGCATAGAGACAGGTCGGGGTCCAGGTTAGCACAAACTAGCATCTACTTTTTGGCACAAAACCTAAGGAATTGAAATTCACATTGTAGGCCTACCTCATGAATTTCATGCCATTCTGCTGCCTTCCCTATAGCAATGATAGCTACCCTAATTGTGCAAATGATTAATCCAAACAGAGTGAACTGTACTGAATAGATGACGCTAAATCATCTGATAGAAGACATGGAAGAATTCTCAATTTGGCACGATAGATAGAAAAGTCATGTGCAAAGGTACCACGTGCAATCTAAGTGTTCACAAACTGTAGCTGATTCACATTTGGCTTTTATCCCCTTTAATGGAGACCCTTTAACATGCACCGGAACAGAAACAAATAACTGGCATGAATCGAAGGCTAACAAAAGAAAAAAGAAAGTACACAGATCATATCCAAAGAAAAGCATGGGATGTCTTGTTTTTCGCATTGTTACATTTGGAAGAGTGCTTTGGGCTATGGGTCAGCATCACAGAAGAGGTGAGAAGTACTTCTGCTGGAGTATTGTGAGACATTCAAGATCATTCTGGTCTGGCTATTTTCATGTATCAGTGGTCTGAACCCAGCATAAATTCGATTAAACAGAGGTTAACCCTGGCAAAATTAGGTCTTGCTTACTGCGATCCCTGCAAACAACTAAAGGTCTTCACTGTGCACCGGGGTACTTGGTACTAAGCTATGCTAAACACTTCCTGGATGCACAAAGATAAACCTGATGCCAATCTTCTGTGACTTTGCGGAGTCTTCCCAAACCGAGTGTTCCTTAAATATTATGGCACAACCTGTCTATGCACACCGACAAAATAACCATTCAGAAGTCGGTTAAAGCATACCTCAATCTGAATACAAATGAAGCACAAGTAGAAGTCCACGTTTTTACACTCAAAGAGCACATTTCACTGTTGCACCAAAAGTAATACAAAGAACATCTAGCATAGTCATCATCAGTCATATTATTATTGTTTCCCCAAGTTATGATTTTTTCTCTTTTGTTTTTTTGTTGTTGAAACAACCATCACAAAGGACAGTATTGTGCTAGTTCTTTAGCAACAATGACCTGAAGAGTAACATCTTCCACTAAACTGACACAGTAGGAACAACAGACCTTAAATCTCGTGTTAAGGTTGCTAAAATGCATACAGTGAAACCATATCCAGAAGAGAGGACTACACAATAATACTGTTTTACAGAAATACTCACACAATATTTCCAACAGATCTTTAGGGATAGGTACTCCTGTTTTGCTTACAGTCAATCACATTTTTGAGGTAATAACTTCAGGAAAAAGAGGGCAAAACATTTGATTTTTCTTCAGATTTTGAAACAATTTACCAAGGAAAATAAGAGAAGGCCTCACACACATAAAACAATAAGAACACCGTATCATTACTGAATGTAGATACACACACGCTCACACACTTAGTTTGTCGTATTTCCACGTACACTAAACCACAAAACAATGTTTAAATGTATGCATTATTACAGAGAGATACTGTGGCTTACATTCACATGGTTTCTCTGAAAGGATGAAAAGTGGACGTTTTCTGTGCTCCATAGATGATGGTGGGGTCAGGTGGGGAACTACGGGCATAAATGGAGGAACATTCCTCTCCTGAGAAGGGGTAAGGGAGGATTTTATTTTTCCGTTTCTTTTCTTTTATGACATACTCTCACACCTTTTCAGCAAAGAATCCGGGGGTCTAGGGTAATAGCCGGTGGTGCAGGGCTTATCAGGGGAAAACCTGGGAAACTTGTAATCCAGAGGCAGATCTAGAAAGAGGAAAAATCAAATAGGAAAGTCAGCTGCAAGTGATCACAATTGGTTGGTTTCATAAAATCCTAGATTTATTTTATCCAACCAGAAGAGTCGCCACCTGCTGGCCATTATAAATAATGCAGATGTTAGGCACGTCCACATTTGCTTCCCCTTTCATCATGTAGGTCCATCCCTTCTTCTATATATAGTCCATGGTAAAGATTTAAACATCCCCATCACCCGTTAGCTTTAACATTGTGATGATTTGACATTCACACTGGCCAATGGTGCAGGAAGGTGGGAGAGGAGCCCAAAGTTAGAACTGCACTTCTAATTCTAGCCTTCCTTTTTTTTCCCTTTGTTATTCATGCACATTTGACATTTTGTCGTGTCTGCCTGTAGAACAAGTCTGAAAATGCGTGCCATCATAACCACGTCCCCAACTGCATAAGAGCTGACTTTTCACCATCGACAATGAGAATAAACACTGGATTTCCCATGTGGTGGACAAACATTTCTTAAGAACTAGTTCACAGAGACCATAACCCAGGCCTGACATGATATTTAGTCAAACAGTGTTGTGGTTTTTGTGCAGTCACAATACAAACCGTTCCAAGTAGATTACACAGGAAGGTCACACACACACACACACACACACGCACACACACACACGCACGCACGCACGCACACACGCACACACGCCAGGATAACATCAATGCAACACATCAAAAAAGACATTTCTTGGCAACCTTTGTGGACACCTGCACTTTGATGAGGGAACCACAGATCACATTTTCCCAGGATCTGCTCTGCAGCACACTGCTGCTTGGTAAGAGTTATTTTAACTTTGGCTGCACATCTGTGTCTGCTTCTGTCCCGGTTTGGGTTCATGTGAATGTTTCTCTGATGAAGTAGAATAATGGAGATGTCTGATACGAGGACATTTTTGTATATCTAAAGGATGTAGTTTTTTTTTACAACATTAACACAATAAGTTTGATTCTCAGTTTGTTTACCATATGTGTATATAAACATCTCACTAGAACAGAGTTACCTGTACCGGTTTTTTTGTTTTTGTTTTTGTTTTTTTATAAATAATTAAAACCCAGTGTTTACCAAGACCTTTTTTGATAAGGCTTCAGTGACTGGTAGCTTAATCAACTTCAAGGCTAGATCTCTCAGGTCCTCTGTGAGGTCTTCACTGGATTTCTTTCTCCCCATTTTCTAAGTAGATAATTTTAGATACCTGTAGATTCAACTAAAGAAGTGGCATTTTTATGTTTGAGTGATTCATGGGTCAATGTTAAGTGGCTTAACAAACAAACAAAAACATTAGAACTTCTCCACCAGCATGGGCCAGAACCGAGAGCTGTCAAAGGATATGTAGACGTGCTGGAATGGGCTACAAGACCATCAACAAGAAGTTGGGGAGAAGGTGACAACAGTTGGTGTGACTATTTGGAAATGGAAGAAATAAAACATGGCAATCAATCACCCTCGGTGTTAAAATCTGTGCAAGGAGTATCATGAGAAAGATGGAGGGGCTCTTTAATGATCTAAATGAAGTTGGGACCACAGTCCCCAAGAACACCACTCTACATTATAATGAACTGAAATCATGCAGCACCTGCAAGGTCCCTCTGCTAAAGATGGCGTGTGTACAGGCACATCTTAAGTTTGCCAGTGAACAGCTAAATGATTCAGAAAAGGCTTGGGAGACAGTGCTGAGGTCAGAAGAAACTGAAATCAAGCTCTCTGGTATTAACTCGATCCATCGCGTTTAGAATAAAAGAACAGTTGAGGATGACCCAAAGAACATCAAGCATGGAATTGGAAGCATTATACTTTGGCCAATCGACGGGACCAAGTACCTTAAAATCTTGGACAAGAAGCTCCTCCCCTCAGCCAGAACACGATAACAATGATAACAATGATCCAATACAACAAACCTGGTGACCAATTACAAAACATGTCTTACTGCTTTGCATGCCAACAAGGGTTTCTCTTTAGACATGTTTTGCTTGGGGAATCAAACACCTATTTCACTCTGAGAGATGAAAATTAATTTATAATATTTATGTATATTTATTTAGTATTTTAGGTTGATATTCTATTTCTCTACTATACAAATCAGAAACTGTCTTTGTAAGTAACCAAACTTACAAATTCAGCAGTGGGTCAAATGATCATTTCCCCCACTGTGTAAAGAAATGAAAGGTAGCTCACTTTTGCACAGGAGTGTAAAAGGAATCCATTGTCATAGAAAAAGACTTGGTCCAGTCAGCCTTTCGGGTTATTGTAGAGGGTAACAAATACATGAGCTCTAAATAAAGGGCTGTTCCCTGTTCCCTAACCCTGTGTTTATGTTAATTTGCTCTGTATTTTACATCACTTTCAAATGTATTTCCATCGTTTGTCTCCTTTCACATACCTGCTATGTGCTCAACACTAGGGATGGCCATGGTGCTGTATTTGTGAATGCAGTGGCAGCACCAGGTCAGCTTCTGGCTCTCCTCATCCCCTCCTCCACTTTTATGCACATCAACAAAGTAAGAGCCCCACTGGTTGGACACAGCAGAGGGTGACTTCATGCCCTGCTCCTGTTGAGACAGTTGATAGAAAAGCCAAACTATGTAACACTGTGTTCATTTTCAGACAGGTACAGACTTGTTTACATGTAGGAATTACCACCCTGAGCACACAGAGGATAATGAATCTCTAAACTGGTTTCAAGCCAGCCAGCTATGATGAGGTTTTTTTTTTCTTTAGTACTAAAATGAATCACTATTACTGAGAAATGTATTGCTGTGTTAGTCATAATCACTTGTACATTTTGCAAGCAGATTCTGATTCTGCTGATGAGCAACATCAGGATGTGGCGTTTAAAATAAGTTTGATAACATACTGATCTTATAAGCCTTAAAGATATCAGGAAATGTTGCATAACAGAGATTTACCAGGTGATAAAATAGAAAAAAGGAAAAAGCCCAAGCTGCTTATGATGTTAAGACGTGTTCCAATTACTTTAAAAATAATATTTTATAACAAAAAAAGGCAAACTGTACAAAAGATTTATGAAGATGGGGAAAACATGAAATGCACTACACTAAAGACTAATGATGGTTGACTGTGAAACAAGATGAAAAATACCAAGCAGGCTTCACACTACTTAGTTTCGATCTTTGATAATGCTCATAAATAAAGACTGCAAACCACAGGAAAAGGAAGTTTCTTATCACAAATGATGTTCTATCTGTGTCAGTAACACTTGTTTCATCAGCACTACCAATATCTCTGACACTTAAGTTCTTGTTTAATTCATTTATTTAATGGAAACGATTACACAAGCTCTGTTACAGTCTCCTTCATGTTAAAGTTGCCAACATAACATGATAAATTAACTAACTGCCTAGTACAAAATGGTCTCTACAGCTAGGTTTCCTCTTCTTTATATTAGCTAAATTTTCATAGAAATTTCTATCTGATAATTTAATGAGGCTTAAAATGAGGCTTATAATTAAGTGCATGGCCATGTGAATACTTTGTCTTGATAAATTGTTTGAGTGTACAGATTAGAATGTTTGGGAGGGGTTGGTTGTTTTCCTAGCAAGTACACTTTGTTTTTGCCAGTTTTCACTAGCTATTTTAGCAGTCACCTCTTGCTATTTAACTATTGCTAACTGCTCTAGTTACTCAGCACTAGCATTTGTTCTAGCTTAGCTGAAAACCTCCTAATGGCCAGAATACCAAACTCAGGGCTATAAAATGGTCAACCAAAAACTATAATGGATATAATAATAAAAGAAAGATAAAGATAAAAGATAAGTAGGGCAAAGAATGGTTTCATCCCAAGAAAGTTCCAAAAAAGCTGGATTCTTGACATGACTAGCTAGCTAGCTTAGTGGTACCTACTGTAGTAACTGAGCATAACAATTAGAATATTATGAATATATTACATTATGTAATATATAACTGAGTGAAAGCCAGTCTTAATAGTATATCAGAATGTATGCTAATGTTACCAGCTCTATCCTAACCCTTACAGAATTTGGATTGTAGTTAAAGGGAGGTAACAAGGCATTCACTCTGTAGTTAGTTAGGGCCCAACAGTGAATTTGTGCCCTGATGCCTCATATATGATTAACACTGCAGTGTTCCTACTAACTAGTTTGGTTTCTTATTAGTAATAACAGGACAAAATAAAGTCCCATTAGATATATTTTATATATATACTGAATTATTCAGAGGTCAAAGACTCCATAGTAAGTCTCCCTACACAGTCTATTTTACTAATTTCTTTAAAGTGTGCACTGTACATCTGTGGGCTTTTTCTGTATGTTGGAAAAAATAAGTTCTTGGTTTTAATACATGTGCAGTAAGTTAGATCAGGGTGTTTCGGGTAAATGTGACCGCTTTACTCCATCGCATCTAATTTTGCTCTTCCTTCCTTTACTGCAGTAAAGTACAGTGCAGAGTGCCCTTCGAAATGAAAATGAGGAAATGTTCTTATCCTGGTGTTTCTCTCCAAAAGATGTGCTGACGCCTTATTTTTTTTGTCTGAGGGGATGTTAACATCCTGCTGCTTAATATCCTCATTGAACTGTGACCAAGAGGGCTGATATGTATTAATTCATTTCTTTACAATTTCCTTTCTACATGACAGAAGTTAAACACCTGATATGATCCATAATTTGCCTATAAAAATCTTTTATTTCATGACTGTGTCTCAGCAAGCCTACCTCACAAGTTCATGAATGGATGTTTTAAGGTCAAACACAGTTGGGCAGTATTCTCAACTTTTTGGACTATCAAAGCAAAATTAAAATAAAGTCACTTACGTTTTTCTATCCTACAGCAGTTTTAGAGCAGCTGATCTCAGTGCCAGACTGCTTCTGCTGATCCATCAGCTGAAGTCACATTCTTTAGTTCCAGTTGGCAAGTCGCATGGAGCACAAACTATTTACTTGTTGCACATCTGCAAGCTGCTTTGGAACCTACTTCAAACTATAACGCCTCCTTTTGAGTATTGTGCTTTGTTAGATTCAAAGTCATCCAAGATTTTTAGTACATACACCTATGGTATCAATTTGAAACGACTATGTTGCTTTATTCCTGAGTTACTGCATTCAAATCTTGAGTTTCCACGTTGCCTGCCCACCTGCCTGGTAGGCTGATGACAATACCCCATCAGCCTTTTACAGCTGAGGGGTAAGAACTATACTTAAAGAAACCAGAAAGAGTCAGACACAAGTTCAATTGACAGCAGATTTGAGCCTGCATATACAAACACAAAGTCCACAAGGTGTCAGAAGGCTAGAGCTGGGGGTAGGGAATGATTGCTATATAACTTACCTCAAACTTTCCCTTCTTCTCCAGAGGCTCCACTTGGGCCTCATTGGACAATGCCGCTTCACTCCTTGGGACGCCCTCCCCCTCCATTTCTTCCACTATCATCACCGTCTCCCACTTCCCAAAGCTGCTGGCAGGGAACATGTCTGATCTCATGCTGTCACCGAAATAAACTACCTGCAGGGTGAAAAATAACAGCCTGGTTACTCTCAGTGAAACAGAATTCTTGTGTAGGCTTAGTGAAAGTCAGTTAAACTGCTTTTAACATTCACAATGATGACGGTAGCATGTATGAATTCTGACCTATTTCCCACACACACAAAAAAGGGTTTCACTGGTGATTGATGTTACGAGGTTAAAGGCCTCCAAACTGGAGTGAGGAACTCAGAATGCAGGAGTTTAAAATGAAATAACACAGACCTACTGACACACAGAAGATGGGAGAAGGGCATTAGAGTAACAAGTAGTATAAAAATGGAGAAGACTAGAGGTCAGTTCACAGGAATACTACACAGATACATACAGTTTACAGTTGCTGGAATTTTCTATATCTCTTTTATCCTTTTCACACAAGCCCTCAAAATAGTATATGTAAAAACAACTGAATAATCAAATAAAACAATAATAGACTTGGAGGGATTTTATACCATTTCACATTCAAAAACCTCTAAGGTTCTAAAATGTTGATGGGTTTCCTCCAATCAACAGGTTGCTTCAGGTCTTTCCACAACATTTCTGTTGGATTAAAGCCAAAGTTTTGACTTGGCTTTATCATTTTACACTCTTTGGTAATATTTTAATATTTAATAATATTTTGCATTGTGCCATGTCTTATTGCACAATTCACTATCCTTTTTGATTTATTTGATGATTAGAGGGCCTGAGTTTTTCCTTTAGAAAACATTCACTCCATCAGTGATGACAAACTGTCAGACCCAGATGTAGCCAAACAGGTCCAAACCATGACATTACCACCACAGCGTTTCACAGATAGGCTAAGATTTTTAACCGCTTTCTTTTTGTTAACATAATTTTTGTAATGAAAACTGAAAGTACATCTCATTTGTCTTTAAAACACAGTTTCAACAGATCTGCAGATGGCAGAACCGCTCTGTCTGGAAAGCAGTGTTTTATCCCTGTCATGCAAACCAGTCTAGCTCAGTTTATACCTAATGGTGGTGTATTTAATGGTCATATATAGCTAAGCTGATTAGTGTAGCAATTCTGAGTCTAGTACGTATTACCGTTTCTACCCAAACCCAATATACAATGATGTAAACCCATACTAGCTGAAACAAATAGTGATCACACACACATATCTCTGCAAATATATGCATGTTAGATACAACTAAATCAAACCAGAAGGCCATAAAGAGTATGTAAGGCATTCCAGTAGCTGGGGGTTGTCTCTCTCCTCACAGCTCTGTGCTGCGACTCAAGAGCTCCCTTTCACATGTAAACAAACAGACCGGCTAATCTGGGGGGCTGCAGCCCGGAGCCTGTGGTGCAAGGACTGCAGGAGTTATATTTCCACTAACTTTCCCAGAACTGGCCACAGCTGATCCTTGAACCCCCGAAACATCCTGCACCTCTCATTGCTAAGCAGTACTGCTGCCAGAGTCGTGGGATCACTATGATAAATATTTAGAGAGGCCATGGATTCCAGCACAGAGAAAATATATTACAGATAGATTCATTGTTGATGAATACAGTTACACCAACCTCAACTACACTGAGCTCTGCATTAGGGGAAGACCTATAAAGAGAATCAGACTCCAGGCTATGGTTAAATCAGCCAGGCTCTTGGTTTGTAAGCATAACGATCACACTGTTCATTGGTTATAAATGCACCCTTTAGTTTTTGTATTTTATTCTTAATTCTCAGCTGTCAAACTTGCTGTGCTGCAGCACAACTGGTGTTCTAGGAACGGTTTCTTGACCTGATTTCTCTCCAATATTACGATTGGCTAACACAAATACATTGCATAGAACATTTGTGAAAAATATATGGTGGTGTTGGTGGGAATTTCAAACAACATGAACATCATCATGGAAATCCTAAAGGCCTGTGGTACGTAGCTCACTAATAGAGATTCAGTGACCAGTAAGACCAGTAAGATGCCCTAGCTTTAGGGAAGACTTATTAGAGCAACAAACTCTTTTTCCAGACTAAATGAAGACCATCTAAATTAGTGAGATGCAGTTCCTCTCCAGTGTACAGGTTTTCTGGTGCAAATTAATTAAAATGCTATACAAGTAGAATTGAATTCAAAGTTACTTGACGTGCCATCTTATAATACCAAAGTTTTTCAGGATGAATTCTGCAGAACATGTAAGCATGGAACTTTATGTGGTCATGCCTCATTATGTAAGTTGTAAGCCAACCAGAAAATCTAGTATTAATATAAAGTTTGCAGGTGAAAGACTAGGAATCCAATGGGATTCCTTCATGGCAAAAAGCTGCACATGATAGTTTCCCCTTGGTCAAGTTATGAGAATCGGCCATGTGGGTCTGTAGTTCTTTTATCAGGCAATCAGGCAATGCAAACATATAGAATGACCTTAATGAGGCCATTGTGCTACAGGCAGCATGGAGCCTGGAGCATAAGGGGGTGGGGGCAACAGTTACACTGTAATTCGCTCTCAGAAACCAGACATTTCTCTTAACTTGTGAAACACTGCCAGCAGAATCAGTACACATGTTTTTTTTTCCTTTTTAACCTGTGCCGCTTTTCTCAAAACAGCACAGGGAACACAGAATGAACTACCCATATCCAAAGAACCTGTCTGATCATGTCCGATCAGTCCAGTCACAACCCCAGTAGTTTCAGCAGTGTCCTGTAAGTCAATTGTAATCTTCCTTGAATGCCTCTATTCAAGCCACCTGCCTTAAGTCCTGTCAGGTGAAAGTGGAGAGAACTGAAAATACAGAGTGCCTCAGGTCAACCCAGAGGAGTCTTTAAAGCAGCTATAAGTGCAGG